CACACACACACACACACACACACACACACACACACACACACACACACACACACACATACACTCGCACTCACACTCACACTCACACTCACATACACACGCACACACATTCTCCTGTCTTAGGCTGTCTATTGATGGGGAGCGCCACCTGCTGGAAACTAGGTCCAGCGTCCCATGAACATCGTGAATAAAGCACCAACCGGAACCCCACACACACTCTCTTTGAGTTGTGTATAGCGAACACAACAAAACATACATACAACATAAACACTACCTTACCGTTCCCGAACCACATCAATAAACGAACTACGGGCTGCGCACCCGTGCCCTCACCGTAAGTCAATTGAAGTTGTTGTGCAGTCCTTTTTTTTTGGGTTTTTTTTCTCCCCCAGCAACCCCCACCCCCCAAACCCCCAAACCCACCACCCCGACTCATTTCTCTCATTTCCCCCTCAACCCCTTGCGAGCAAAGCCACAACAGGTACCCTTGTTGCTAAATTATTCTGACTGCATTTCCGACCACAGCTAGGTGAATCTGATCGCATTACGTCCGGAACTTCGTAGAAAAAGTCCTCGTGTGATTATGCCCTCAGATCCATCCGTACTTGCTGCCAATCTGCGACTGCCAATATCTATCCGCGAGATATTTTCAGTGGGCTTTTGTAGCGCCCTTGCTTGTGGACAAAGGGCACCCTATTTACTTACCATGAGAGCACGAGTGCGCAGCCCGTAGTTTATTTGTTGATGTGGTTCGGGAAGGGTAAGGTAGTGATTATGTTGTATGTATGTTTTGTCATGTTCCCTATACACAACTTGAACAGAGTGTGTGGGGGGGGGTCCCGGTCGGTGCGCGCGTACTCTCATCATTAGGTATAACTTTTCATAATTGAACTGGCGGGGCCCAGATAATTCAATTTTTTTTTCCCTTCTGTTCATCTAATTGCATCTGGATTCGAACTCTGCTCCGCATTTCAACAGTTCAGTTCATTGGGTGTACCAACTCGGCAAGGTCCACGCTGGTAGGTAGAACTTCTTCGGTTGCATCCGATGGGAAGTGCGGGCGGCAACAGTCAAAGAAGTCCAAAAGTGCGAAAACGGCCTACGATAAGCAAACTTCAGAAAGCCGCGCGGCGTAGGGCTTGTGCGCTCGTCAACAACCAAACTCCTCCGCTTCACGACCTCAAACTCGGCGCCATCAACGTTTATAACAAACCCGACCTCCGCTTCACACTATTGATCCAGATCTGACAGCTATTCGACGTCGATGGTTGAATCATCTTACATCATTGTCATTAGCTATCTGGTGGTTAGATGATGGGTCAATTATTTCAAATTATTTCACTAGGGCGAAAGGGAGTCTAGAGTTATCTATTTTTTATGGTAATATGCCTGTTCAAAAAGTAGTAAAAAAAACGTATACTTATTTAGACAAACAAAAGAGTTTGTTATTATTAATGGAGAAAAGATTGGACATTCTTCTTGTACGTATGAATTTTTGCTCTACTATTTTTACAGCAAGACAGCTTATTTGAGTCACAATTGAGTTTCAGCGCGATGTGTGTGGGACCTGCAACTACTCCTGCCATTGGATTAATACGCATCAGCTGCGTACGGTGTCAGCACCAGGTTGGATGTGATGGATGTACGCATCAGCTGCGTACGGTGTCAGCAACAGGTTGGATGTGATGGATGTGGGACCAAACCCTTGCCATCGCTCGCAGGGTGGTTGCTTTGGCAAGCTGATTGTGACCAGACGTTTGATGAATGATGCTGAACCTACGAATCCCCCCCGGCGGCCGCCAAGCGCGGCCAAGTCCGCGGCCGCGGCCAGGTCTGCGCGACCGCGAGGCTTTGAGGCCACCTGGCGGCCAGTGGGGAGGGGCATTGGGGATTCGGGAAGCGCCATGGGGCGGCGCAACCCCAACCCCACCCCCTCGAAAAAAAAAAAAAAAAAAAAAAAAA